GAGCCAATGTTCAGTTAAACATAGAACATCTATATTATTTTTTTCTAAAAACAATTGAATAATTAATTCACAGCCGAGAAAACTTTGTATGTTCTGGTGAACAATTTTCAATTCTGATAGCTTTCCCTTTGTCTTTTTCAGCAGTTTAAATCTGCAGTCATATTTAAATTATTGTAAATAAAAGGATTCTTACTAGAATCAATATTTATGTCAATATTTTCAGTATGTTTAGTATTAACTTTAGTACAAATACTACTAATTGGATTAGTGCAATCCATTATATTACTTATAATGGGGTCATTTATATTATAAGCTAGTAAACTAGCTATATTTCTTATTTGTTTTTTAGGCAGATAAAATCTATCTCCAGTCATACAAAAGTTTGTAACAAATTTGTTACTATCAAAAAATAAAAAGTCATTATGACGACAAGTCATATTATAAATTAAATTATTAATATAATATATGAACTTATTTTGTTCAATAGTCAGAGAATGACAGTAAGGAAATGCACATAAAATTATTTTACCTATGCCCAGATCAGCAATATTAAGCAAAGAGTTTACAAGTTTAATGACATGACTTTTTTTTACATTTAAACAGTTGCCTAAAGCAATGACTAATGTGGTTAACTTATCATACCTACCATTAACCACCTTATTTAAAATATTAGGCAATGAAGCACCAGGTAGACAATTATTTATAACATGTTGAGATAAACTTTCTGATAATGAACGGCCCAAACCCTTACCATATTCATCTGAATAAATAATTGTCCTTCGTACTGGTGCAACATTACAATTATCAGTTTTTAAAGACAAGTTAGAATTGAGTAAATTTGAACAAGGAGTGATTGACTCAGTCAAGACTGATGTGATTGACTTATTGTTATTTCCATTAGGGCTATATTGACAAGATTTAGGAGATTCAGGTGTCTCACAACAACATTTCTCTGTCAATGAGGTGAACCGCTCCATGTTGTAATTACCCAACTCTATTAATTTATCCAGTGATTTACTATAGTTATTAATTTCATATTGAGCACACTCATATTTATTTGTTAAATTATATAATAAAGATTCCAACTCTTGAATTTTACTCTTTAATTTATTTTGTTACAAATCTTTATCATGTAAATTTGTTTTACAATTTTGAAGTTCTTGTAACAGGTCTAATTTTTGTCTTCTAATATTTATAGATTTTAAACATTTAGTATGAGTTCTCACTAACTTTTCTGACTTTTTAATAAATTTGTTTATTTTTATATATTTTTTTAATTTATTGACACTATTAAATTGACTAGTACAACTATTTGAGCTGGGTGTATTTGTTAAATCTATGGTCACCAACGGCTGAGTATACTTTTGATCACAAGTGACATTTAACAATTCTGTATACAGATCTAAGGTGTTATTATAGCTACTCACCCGTTTGTATTCCAACATAGATTCACTATGTGCTTGAGCTTCCTCAAGGTGTCTCTCGAGGTGAGTGATACGCTGTAGATTTGACTCATATGTGTCCCTGCAGTGATCATATTCATTAACAATTTCCTGAAGTCTATCCCTGTCAACGCGTAGGTCTTCACATAATACATTAATGTTTACAAGTTCCCCCTTCAGGGCCACATATTTGTCAAATAGAGATTTCATCTCTATTTCACTATCATCCTGTTCCTGTAACAACACTTTATTCAAGTCTTGGGTTTTCTTTAATTCAACGAGTGCCACCTTAAGTTTAGCATCAAGATCACAGGCTCTTCAGGACATCATTATTAAATATGCTGAGTAATAAATTTAAATATAAAGGAACTTAGTGGAATTTAAAACTTGTGCTATTTCCTTACAATAAAATTTATTTATAAATATATAATATGTAAGTAATGTTAGTAAATATGTTAAATATAAATAACAATACTAAAGATTATTATATGTAAGAACTTACAGTTAGTACTTACAATAATATTTGGTTAGTGGGTAATTTTTTTTTTTCCTCGACGCACAACTTGAATTCACTTTTAAAATTACCACAATATTAACATGTAACACAAAACAAGTAATAATAAAGGAATGTTATAATAATTTAAATTGAATTATGCGATAACATATACAAGATTGATGTAAATATAAGTTTATTACGAACGAGTTAATGTTTTTGAAAATTTATTTGCTAATATTCCGATTAATATTACATCTTCTCTGGACTCATCTCCATCTCGAGCAAAAATATTACTAGAGTCTAATATCGGTTGTTGTGCTTTAAGATTTAAATTTTCACATGTTAGCCCCGTTCATATCATAAAAATATTCAAACATCTAAATTTAAAAAATACAGAAGACCTTTGGGGCATGTCTGTAAAAGTAGTTAGTTCTTTCATAGATATTGTTGCTCCATATCTAGCTACTATTTTTAATAAATGTATTGATAATGGGACTTTTCCACAATTAATGAAATTTAGCAAATTAATCCCACTATTTAAATCAGGAGATAAATTTGAGCCAGGGAACTATAGACCTATATCTATTTTGCCAGTTCTAAGTAAGGTGTTTGAAAAGATAATGTTAAATCAAATGTTACAACACTTCAGGGATAACCGACAGCTTCACAGTCAACAATATGGTTTCACCGCCGGCAAGTCTACCACTGACGCAGGTGTAGCGCTGATAACACATATTTTCCAATCATGGGAGAAGTCACAGGATGCACTCGGAGTTTTTTGTGACCTATCAAAGGCATTTGATTGCGTGGATCATAAAACACTTTTGTACAAGCTCGAACATTATGGTATAAAAGATAATGATCTAAAATTAATGAGAACTTATTTAGAGGATAGGGTCCAAACTGTAGATATTGACGGTATAAAATCTAAGGGAGCTAATATTGGGATGGGCGTTCCACAAGGGTCAATCTTAGGCCCCTTTCTCTTTTTAATTTACATAAATGACCTTCCCTTTATGGTAGAGAAAATTGCAGATATAGTGCTGTTTGCGGATGATACTTCGTTAGTGTTTAAAATTGGACGTCAAACTAATCAATTAGACGATGTAAATTGTGCTATGTCTGCTATATTAAATTGGTTTACATGTAATAACCTATTATTAAATTCCAGCAAAACAAAGTGTATAAAATTTACACTTCCTAATGTAAGACCAATAAATACACAGTTATTGCTTAATGACGAAATAGTAAATTTTGTTAATGATACAGTTTTTTTAGGTATAACAGTGGACTCGAAATTACAATGGGGGCCCCATATTTCAAAATTGGCCAATAGACTCAGTTCAGCTGCATATGCAATTAGAAGAATTAGGCAATTAACAGACGTGGCGACGGCTAAACTTGTATACTTTAGTTATTTCCATAGCATTATGTCATATGGTATACTACTGTGGGGTAAAGCAGCCGATATAAATACTATATTTATTTTACAAAAGAGAGCCATACGTTCTATTTATGGTATGGGTTCAAGAGAGTCATTACGTCAGTGTTTTAAAGATTCAAATATCCTCACCGTTACTTCACAATACATTTATGAGAATATCATGTATACACGGAAGAATTTAGACAGTTTTAGAAAACTTAAAGACTGTACAAATAGAAACTTACGCAATAAAAATAAGCTAATTTTACCTAAATGCCGCCTGCACAAAGTCAGTAATTCATTCTATGGTAATTGCGTAAGATTTTATAATAAACTGCCAGAATCTGCACTAAATCTGACAGAGAGGCAATTCAAATCTTATATTAAACAATTTTTATGTAAGAAAGCCTATTACAGGATAGACGAATTCATAGAAGACAACATATCAAGTAAATAATTAGTTTATTAGCATACAACGTTATAATTTGTTTATCTCATTGCTTTCTTGACTCAGTTATTTTAGAAATATGAAAGCGTAGCGGGTTTTGTATTAATTGCCGCATGCATGCTTATGTGAAATGTGAATACTATAAACATCAGATGGCAATTCTGAGTAGCTATGACGTGGTCTGGTGTTTTGAGTAGTCATGCTCACTAAAATGTCCAGACTTGTGGCGGCGTGGTGGGCCGGGTCATTGGGCTCCCTAAAATATGGTCGAGCGCAGTGATGGCTGGCTCATCCGTCATACTCGTGAACGGGTGCTGCTTGTAGGGACTGGTCTGCTCTAATCACTATGACTGATTTCCTCTTATTAATTGTTTAACCAGTTGGTTATGTATTCAATATTTTTTTTCTTTTTGAGTATTTAATTGAATTAGTGCTAATCAGTGGTTTGTATTCACACACTTAAACTTAAATTGTAAGTAAGAATAAATTATTTAAAAGAGCAACACACAAGTTTATTGCTTGTTCTTCTTGTGATGAGACAGCATGCCGAATGAGCGGTAGATTAAAAAAAAAAATGTTATGACTATTCAAAAGTGCTTCAATGTAAGTTTATTTGAATAAATGATTTTCTATTCTATTCTATTCTATTCTTTGACAGTTGACCGGTAGGAAATATTGTGTCGATTTTTGTACACAAATACAATATAAAAATGAACACAAACAACAATAGATGCTTCTTATAGCTTAAACTCACTAATTATATCAATTACACTAAAAAAATCGAGTAATAAATTATATAAAAGAATTTAATTATTACGGCCAGCTGACAAAGACAGTTATCGGTAAAGTTGCCAGTCGAGAAAAAAAAAATAAGAACTACAATTGTGGTTAACATAACCTAAACAGTGACATTTGACAGTGACACAGCACCAGAGATCATAGATTATAGAAGATTTATCAATACTATCAACATTACGGCAATAGACCGACACTCGTAGTGTTGCCAGCTTCTACCTCCGTATACGGCTAAAATAGACTAAAATTAATATGGAAAAAAGTATGGATTTACTATTTTCAAAATTAGAGGAGACACTTAATCTACAAGCTACAGTAATATCTAATGAAGTTACAAAAAATATAATGCAAGCCTTAGATGAGAAGATGAAATCACTTGTAACGGAAAATAACACCCTAAAATCAAGAATTACAAAGTTAGAAGAAAAAATCAACTTTATGGAAAGGGATAAAAGAAAAAATAATTTAGTATTTTTTGGTATAAAAGAGGAAGGACAAAGTGAAACTGAATTAGTGGATCAATTAAAAGAAACAGTAGTAGATATGGGGATACATTTGGAAAGCCAAGAGATAGCAAATTTATATAGAATTGGTCGCCCTTCAAACAAAAATCGACCAGTAGTGGTGTCCTTTACAACAAAATGGAAAAAACACCTTGTGCAACAAAACAAGACTAACCTTCCGCAAGGCATCTATCTTAAAGAAGACTATTCTAGAGAGGTACTCGTGACCAGAAAGGAACTTCAACCGAAACTGGAGGAGGAAAGAAAGAAGGGAAACATAGCTTACTTAAAGTACGACAAGCTGATAGTAAAGAAAGCAAATGAAAATAATCGTGAGAAGAGGAAAAGAGATAAATCAGAATCACCAGTTACAAAAAATTACACCAAGAAGCAGCTGACTAACAGCAGTCCAAACTCAACCATCATGTCATCTGTAAATGTTGCAAAAGAAATACTAAAACCAAATATACTAAATTATATGGCACGTGGAAGATCTTATTCCTTATCAGAATCATCAAAAAACTAACAAGTAATGCCGGCAACTGGAACCCAAACAATAAAGAATTACTAACACCCAATAAAACAACATTAACTTGCACCCCAAGCCGGCTGGTCACCGTGGGGGAAGAAGACTATCACCCTCCAACAAATGCTAAGAAACAAAACATCAATATATTAAACAGGATAAAAAGAGAACAAACCTTAAAAATATGCACGTACAATGTAAGATCACTTGCTACAACATCGAGATTTTTGGAACTCAACAATGCGATTAAACATATAAATTGGGACATTATAGGCCTCGCAGAAGTGAAAAAAATTGGTTGTCATATAGAGGAACACAAAGACTATATCTTCTGCTATATAGGCGAAACAATTGGATTACATGGCGTGGGCTTTCTAATAAAGAAATCGTTTAAATCGGACATCGTGAATTTTTTGGGTATCTCCGAGAGAGTAGCATTACTTAAACTACAATTGAATAACATACCACTATCTCTAATTCAAGTCTATTCTCCTACCGAGAGCTCCAGGGAAGAAGAAATAGACAAATTTTACAATGACTTAAAGACAGCACAAGAATTAGCTGATAAAACCTTAATAATTATGGGAGACTTCAACGCAAAAATAGGACATCCACAGCCGCACGAAAATATAATAATGGGAAAGTATGGATACGGAAAACGTAATAAGAGGGGAGAACGTTTAATACAGTTTGCATATGAAAACAAACTATCAATAATGAACACTTATTTTATCAAGAAAAAATCCAGAAAGTGGATGTGGTTATCTCCAGATCAAAAAACAAAAAATGAAATAGACTTCATACTAAGTCACAACCCAAAATCAGTAGCGAACATAGAGATACTCAACAATCTTAACTTCCCATCTGACCACAGAATTGTAAGATGTTCTCTAAAAATACAGACATGCAAAGCTAGTCATAGGACATTCAAGTCCATACCCAACATGCTAAAGTACACTTGTGACAAAAATAGCTACATACAAAACCTAAAACAGAACTCAACAAAGTTATACAAATCTATGGAGAACTCTGACAATATACTAATACTAAGTAACGAATTAGAAAAAACAATCTCAAGAAGCCTTATACTCAGTGAAAATAAAAGATGCGATGGTAAAAAGACAAAATTATTAGTGAAGAAACATTTAATCTCATTTCCGAAAGAACAAAATTATTGAAAAGTAAATTAAAATCTAAAGAAAGGAAAAAAAAATTAAAGCAGCTGTTTAAAAATTGTAACAGAGCAATTAGAAAAGACTATGAATCATACAGAAAATCAGTTATAGAAAGAAATATGACAACTTACCGCAGCTCAAAAAGAGCTTTTAAAGAATTGGCAACTCATAAAACCTGGATTGAATGTCTAAAGAAGTTAGAGACAGGTCAGATATAAGGAAAAGCGCAACGGAATTCTATACCAACCTATACAAAGGACCTCCACAAGCAAAAACCATATGGAGCAAAAGTAATTTTGGGTTCAATGATGACCAAACTACAATAACATGGGATCCAATAACAGAAAACTATTGAGTCACATTAAGAAACTAAAACCTGAAAAAAGTCCAGGTCCAGATGGAATCTCCAATGAAGCTTTAAAAATCGGAGCACAATGGCTAGTACAATTTATACTCAATCTGTTTAACCTAATCTTAAAACAGGAACAAGTACCAACACAGTGGTGCAAATCCACAATAATACTACTCTACAAAAAAGTGAACCCACTTGACATTGGTAATTACAGGCCCATTAGTTTATTAACAACAACTTACAAACTCTTCTCGTCAATTATTCTTAGCAGAATAGCACCAGAAATTAATAAAAATCAATCCATAGAACAAGCAGGATTTCGGCCAAATTACTCGACAATTGATCATATACATACTATGGAACAAATAATCGAAAAATACAAGGAGTTTAATAAACCAATATACATAGCATTTGTGGATTATACCAAAGCATTTGACAGCTTAATATATTCATCTATATGGGAAGCATTAAGAAGTAATAACATAAGCGAAAAATACATAAACATTATAAAGAACATTTACTCCAAAAATACAAGTAGAGTCAAATTAGAAAAATTGGGAAAAGAATTCCCAATTGAAAAAGGTGTGAAACAAGGAGATCCTCTCTCTCCTAAATTGTTCATAGCGGTACTTGAGCAAATTTTTATAATAATAATAATCTCAGGACAATTCACACAGCGCCATCTAGACCCAAGTTAAGCTAGCTAAAGCTTGTGTTATGGGTCCTAGACAACTGATACAAATACATATATATATTTTTTTTTTCGTAAATACATACATATTATACATAGAAAATACCCAGACCGATACAAACAATCATACTCATGAAGACAAATTTTTACAAACATTATTTGGGGAAACAAAGGAATACCAATACTGAATAAAAGGCTAACCCATTTAATGTTTGCAGACGATATAGCTCTTTTTAGTGAAATGGCCACAGACTTAAACAAAATGCTAAATATTTTAGATGCAGAGAGTAGAAGGATAGGTCTTCATATGAATTCTTCAAAAACAAAAATTATGACTAACAGCTACAAACAAACAATCAAAATAGATAGAATAGAAATAGAATATGTGGATGACTATGTGTATTTGGGTAAAATGGTTTCGTTTGACCCCAATAGTAACGAAAATGAAATTGACAGAAGGATAAATGTAACATGGAAGAAATACTGGGCACAGAAAGAAATTCTAAAAGGGAACTACAACTTGAAAATGAAAAAGATAATAATGGATTCCTGCATCCTGCCAAGCTTAACTTATGCAAGCCAAACATGGGTATATACGGAAAAATTAAAAAAGAAAGTCCTGTCCTGTCAACACGCAATGGAGAGAAGTGTACTAAAGCTACGCAGAATACAGAAAATAAGGAACACAGTCATTCGCGAGAAGACAAAAATAAAAGATGCACTTCAACATGGCCTAAGACAGAAATGGAAATGGGCAGGTCACGTAGCTAGGTACAAAGACAAAAGGTGGACTTACCAACTAACAAAGTGGCGGGGACCGACAGGGAAAAGGCGAGTAGGTCGCCAGAGAAAGAGATGGTCTTTATGACATTAAAGAAGTGGCCGGGGAAAACTGGATGAGCGTGGCTGTGAATAGAGGGAAATGGAACAAGTTGGAGGAGGCTTTTACCCACATGGGACCATATATATAAAGAAAATAAATTAATCCTAACTTAAAATATTAGTTATAATTGTAATATATGGACAATAAAGCTTTAATAATAATAATAATAAATATAAATTAAAATGCCATACTAACTGCAATTTAAATATTGAGGAGGAAATCTTTTACTTGTCGTTTAAAAATATGAATGGACTTTGCAGTTCTGATAGATATAGGTAACGAGTTCCATAACTTGATACCAGTTACAGTATAGGAATTGTGATAGAATTCAGTGGAATGGGAAGGAGTGGAAAGCAAGACATTTTCGGAAGAACTAATAATAAAGAATGAGTAGAAGAGGAAAACATGAAACGTTTAGGTAGGTGAGTAGACTACTTAACAATAACAAGATCTGTTAAACATCAAATTTTCAACTCTCAAATCGATTGTAGATATTATACAGTTGAGCCGTACTTCAATCTTGGAGTATTACACAAGCCCAAATAATAGAATTAAAAACAACCATTTCTAAAATTATATTTCAGTTAGTACTTACATATTTGGTTTGTGAGTAATTTTTTTTTCCTCGACGCACAACTGTAATTCACTTTTGAAAGTTACCACAAAATTAACATGTCCTACAAAACATGTAATAAAAATAATAAAGGAATGTTATAATAATTTAAATTGCATTACGCGATAACACAAGATTGATGTAAATATAAGTTTATCACAAACTTTCACAGTTGACCGGTAAGAAATATTTATGTCGATTTTTGTACACAAATATATACTACCTATCTTCTACATTAATAATTTCGTCAAGGAGTACGAACGAAACCTTATGCGAATAACAAAACAAAACGTATGGAGCAAAGAATATACTACTCAAGAGAAGAATGACGTCTCCGTATTAAAAAATTGCAACCACGACCTTACGCACTTATACTACTAGCGCCGTACCGGATTAGCACTGAATACTTTTTGAAGAAAAGCGAAATAGCGGGATATTTGAAAATTATCGTGGCGGGATATTTAAAAATTATTGTAAATAATTGGCCCCCTTGGCGGGAAATTCAAAGTTTATTTTTAAATCCCGCCATTATTGACTGCCGACTCAAGACGGATCCGGTGGTCTGCGATGGTTGATAAACGTGGTAAGCGCGGAATGTAAAATATTATAGCTCGGTGAAATATATTTATCAACATTCTGCCGTCACTACGTTTACCATCCATCAGAGTCCTCCCGCCGGTGGGGTTAGATTTGTAGCAAATCACAATTAAAATTAGCAAAAATAAAAAAAAAGAGTAAATACATGAGAAATGACACATTTATTTAGATAAATATTAATAGTTCATTAAAATGATTATGCATGCTAAAAGCTTTCAATTCTATATCATTCTATTTTATACAGTAAAATAACACTGGAATAAATTTTAGTACTTTTTGAAGTAACAGACAAAATAAAGAATAATATGTTCTACAACAGGCCGTTACAGTACATATCATTTTTAATTTTGACGTTTATAACAAAATGCAATCTTTCATTTTTTTTTATGATACTTTAAAGTTGCATATAAACAAATTAAAAATATTTATTTAATTTAATTTGAATGTAGCAAGATGTAGTTATTTTAATTTTTGCCAGTGCCTCAATCAGTTAACTTAGCATGCAAATTTATTATATATAGTTTTAATGTTGTGTAAAACAGAATTTTTTAATGTTAGTGTCAATAGAATAGAAAATCCTTTATTCAAATAAACTTACATTGAAGTACTTTTAAATAGATACCACATTTTTTTTTTCAATCTACCGCTCATTCGGTAAGCTGTCTCAACACAAGAAGAATGAACAAGGAAATTGCGTGTTGCTCTTTTAAATAATTTTGTTGTAACATTACATTTTTAAGTTGATGTGTGAATACAAACAACCAAATAGCACTAATTCAATACTCAAATAGAGAAAATGTTAAATATACAACCAACTGGTTTAGAACTAAATAAGACTAAATCAATCGTAGTGATTAGGGCAGACCAACTACAAGAAGCATTCGCTCATGAGTATAATGGACGGACGAACATTGGTTTAACATTTATTTTTTGCTAGTTACCAACTTATTATAAAATAAATTATAATATTATGTCTAATATAAATAATTTATCTGATCAATTTTACAGTTAATCTCTAATGAGTAGAAACATTTAGCAGTGAGATATTTAAGTAATTTTTAAAAACAGACCTCAGTGATTTATTATTCAATTTATTATAAATATTTATACAGTATAAATAACTGTTACTGTCATAAGCTATATTCATATCTTTTGTAACACAAGATGGTTAATAAAGAAATTATAAAATTATTTTTATATTTACAAAAAAGGAAAGCGAGGAATGTGGTGTGCACAATGATTATATAATGGGTACATATGGTTCAACACATTCCGCCATATGTGAAGACACGCATATTTTATATTAATAATTATATTAATTATACTTCTGTAAATAGTTACATAATTCCAGATAGCACATTACAGTATACAGTTAAAAAGTAAAAATTATTATGATAAAAGTTAAAAATGATTATATATTATTGTTTATATATCAATATTATTCTTATTTTAATGTCATTATGCTAATATATCAAATTCGTAATTCATTTTACCATTCATACCTTCAAACTCTTTTTTTATTGTATAATATTTCAAGACATTTCACGAATCAAGGCATTTTGTTCTTTGAAATGTTCTTTATAAATGAGTGAGACCTCATTTCATTTACATCTTTAAAAATTAAAACGAATGAGTTCACTTACTTAAAACATTAAATACAATTCTCATTTATTTTGTAAAATCTTCATCTTTCTTTCTAACGCTCTCTTTTTCTCATCTTCATCCATTTCTCTATTTTTAATTATAATGTACCTTTTAACACATATATAAAATATACTGTTTTGAATGTGCCGTTTATTACTTTCAAAATGATTTACACAAGTATTTAAAAAACTAAAATCAACAGAACCCAAAGATGTCATTATATTTGTTCGTATTTGTGGAGTGTGTGCATTGTTTTTCAAATAATTATTAATTACTATGGCACACTTTTCTACACATACTACCACATTTTTATTTATATAATTTAATGACGTGTTTGAAGTTTCATATTCCTTAAAGCTGGTAAATATGTGAATTGCTTCAATATTTTTTGTCACATAAATATTTAGGCAATCTTTACATTCATTGTGCCTCAGTTTCTTAAATATAAAACCGCATATATATGCACAAGCTTGACCTTCAGGGGTAGCTTGGTCCATTGCTTCCACTGTATTAGCTAATAATGTTTCTACATTATCAGCTGATACAGTATGTTCAGTATATGTTTGTTGCTCCTGTTCCAAGTTCGATGTTAAAAATGGGAGCAAATTATTTGCTAAAGTAGCACTGTCATCTTCGCAATTTGTATTTTGTCCAGAGTGCCGTAAATTTGTAATTATAGCCGTTTTAATACCTGCCACAAATTGGGAAATTGTCGGATTCGTATTTGACCCACAATAATATCGGATGCATCCAAAACAATTTTCTAAAGGGTCTTGATTCAGGCGACGCGTGGACAAGCTCTTGACTTTTTGGACCTGCAAATTATTCCACAACCTTTCTATGGCATTTAAAGTCTGTATCCATCCGTCTTGAGAAGGAGGAGTTGTCCTGCTACTTAGATATTTCATTGATGATATAAATTTTCGCATATCTTTATAAAGGGCTAAGTGAGGACTCCGCATTGTTAAGTTGCAAGAATATTTTTTTCCTCTACGCAGGTCAGGACTGTCCGCATTAATTGAATCAAATAAATCATCCATTTTTTTAACAAATGTTGCAGTCGCATGGGCTTCGTTTGGAAGTTCATCTGCAAAAAAATACTTTTAAAAGTGATACTGATTTCACAGTAATTTTTTTATAACAATAAAACTTATCGTTTTACTGTGAAATCAGAGGTTGAAGTAAGGTTGAAGACAGACTGGCGTACAAAGTGATTAAAATGGTATAAAAACTTTTATGTAAATAGGTACTTATGTACTTCGTCTGTCTCGAAAAACCAAACATTTTTATTTTATTGTGTTGTAACCACTAATTTGCAGTTTTCAGGTATTATTTTTACTCATCAGACAATTGATTAGTGTTATTTTACAGTATAATTTATAATGGCCACAGTCTTTAAATATAATTGATGAGGGTGCTAAAACATAGTGCATACGTGAAGCTCTCTCGGAAATTAAATTGTATTGTAAATTAAACTTTATTTTCCACAATCAGCCTCATATCTGGGCCGTTGTACGTGTACTCTCAGATACTATTAAACTACATTTAAAAATTCATTTTATAGCACAATCGTTTTATGTTCATTTGTCACTCAAATTATAAAAGATAATAATTAAAAATAACCAAATTCACTTACTAGACGCAATTTTTGCTAATATACCGGCAGCAACAGAGTGACTAAAAACTTGTGCTGCAAGTTTCACTCTCATCTGTTGTTTCATATTAGGATGTATATGATGGTCAGTCAATACAGGAGCATAAACAAAATTTGCGTTATTTTTGTCTTGATTATAAAATTGTTCAATGTGACTCCATTTGACTATGCCTAAAAACAAAAAGAAAATTAATCAAAGTCTAACACCTAAAATTATTTACTAAATATTTGTCATATTTAAAATTCTATACCTACACTGTTATTTTATAAAGGTTACACCTGTATTAAAAAAAACTGATACGTATATATTACTTACCTATACTACTTGCATCTTGTGACTCTAAATCTGTTATACATTCAATATTATTCTTCATTAAGAG